GTAATTTGCAACAAGAAAGCAAATATCAAGGGAGTAAAACTAAAAATATATCTTATATGTGTATAATAAAATTTTGCTCTTTTCACAGCATTCCTTATGAAGTAAAATATATTTTAGACCCAGAATTAAATATTATTATATTATAACTTTTTTCTAGATTGGTCCTTATTATAGAATATCACAGAACAATATTCATTGTAAGAACTGGAAGAAAACTTAAAGATTATTTAGTTCAATCCTCTCATTTCATGATAAAAGAAATTGATGGTGGAGATTTAAGTTTCCTAACTTAGAGTTGCACAGTAGTCCAGGACAAAACTGGAATTCTAGCTTGGAGGCCTGCTGACTTCAAGTCTGTGCTTCATCTCATTGCACTGCCTCATACTTGCAAGCATATAAAAATAAGAGTATAATATGTCAATATTGTATTAAACATTTTAAATACATCCTCCCATTCAATTCTCAAAATAGCCCATTTTACCAATGACTGAACAGATTAATCAGGTTAAGGTTAACTAACAAGCCCAGGAACTCATAGTAAATGGCTGAGTCAGGATTTGAATTTGGGTACTTTGATCTAGAATCAGTTTTCTAAGCCTTTATATTTTTCCATTGCTTGCACTATAGGCAAAAGAAAAGACAATAATATTGAGATGAGGAGATGAGAGAAAGACTGGATACAGAATCAGCTATCAGAAAAACTTATTTAAAAAATATTAGCACTTTTCTAAAAGTATCTGTAATCTTAAATTCACCCGTAAAATATCATGCAGAATTTAGTTAGCATCTAAGGGGGTCTAGAACCCAGTTTAAAGGCCCCCCCCCCAAAAAAAAAGGCTCTTGCTTACTTTACACCCACTGGGCCATAAGCAGACAATGACAAATAACATGGAAATATGAAGGACAAATTCCCCAATAGCCCGCCAGCCCCTAGCCCAGGAGGAGCTGCACTACAGGCACATTCGGAGTGCCACCATGATATAAGTGCTTTTACTACACAAAGCATTTAGTAGGCATTTGTAAGAGCTGAATTACCAGATCACAGTAATTCTGTGAAAACTTTGTGAATTCTTTCAGAACACTTTCTGTCTCTTAGGCTGCATAAGAAGTTGGAGCCCACCTTAAAGGGAGATGCTAAAGGCTTACTCTCAATCTACATTTTAACAGTTTTCGACTTCCTTGGCTTTATTGCCCAAAGGATGCTGCCTAAACACATCCAGCATGCTTTGTCGTGAAACTTTAATGGATATTTACTCATGAAGTGACTCTGTAACTCTTGCAGTTGGAAATGTTTTATTTGACTTGGCCTAGGTATCATTAACATGATTGTGCAAATAAGTGAAGAAGAAAATGTAGGCTGATGGTAAAAACCGTCAAGTATGCCTTCTTCCCATGATCCGATAGGGGTATATCAGAAACTGTCAAGCTGAATGGCACCATTTCATCACTTGCTTGCTCTATTCTCTGGAAAGCAACATTCAAGTTCCATGACAATTGCTGACCTTTGTGTCTGAGCAATAAACACACAGTTTAGCATGGCAGGCACTATATTATACATTGTATGACGTTGTTGGGTGGTTTGGACTATGAGCTTTAGAATCTGAGGTACCTGGGTTTAACTTCTTGCCCTTTCCCTGATTAATTTTCTGACCCTGGGGCAAATCAATTTATTTGTCTGAGCCTTTGTTTCCCCTTCTGTACAATGCGGAAAGAAATAATACCTACATCTCCAGAAATTGTTCATTAATTCAACAATTATTTGAGACTATCTTTTACCACATGGACAGATGATAATAAACAAAAAACATAAATAGGAAAATTATATAATTTTAAAAGAATAAAATGATATGAGAAATAAACTATAGAACAAGGGAAGGGGATGGATAGTGTTCGGGTGGTAGTTGGGAGGACAGAATTTTTTTATTTATTATTTTGAATATGTTTTTTGTTGATTTCAAAGAGGAAGGGAGAGAGAGAGAGAGAGAGAGAGAGAGAGAGAGAGAGAGAGAGAGAGAGAGAGAGAAACAACAGTTATAGAGAATCATTGATTTGCTGGCTCCTGTATTTCCCCTACTGGGGATAGACCCTGCAACCTGGGCATAGGCGCTGACCTGAAATTGAACCATGAACTCCTAGTTCATAGGTCGATGCTCAACCACCGAGCCATGCTGGCTGGACCAGAATTTTTCTTTCAAATAGGATGGTTAGGGTAGGCCTCTGATGAATAAAGACTTGGACAATAACCTTTACTCAGAATGAAAATGGGAACCATTGTGGGGTACTTAGAAGAGTGACATGATTAAGCTTAAATGTAAAGGAATACTTCTGATGGTGATGTGGGATATAGATTGTAAAGGGGCAAGAGGAGAAACAAAGACATTAGTGAGGAAGCTATTATAGTAATCTAGGTGAGAGAAAATGGTGGCCCAGAATATCAGAACAGGGTGGCAGTAGTGGATATAGTAAGAAGTGGCCAGATTACAGAAAATTTTATAGGTGATTTTTTAGATAAAATATGCTATGTGAGAGGAAAAAACATGTTAAGGAGGACTCTGAGTGTTTCAATCTAACCAACTGGAAGGATGGAATTACTATCCAACCAGATGAAGAAGGCTGTGGATGGAGCAGGAATGTGTGTGAGGGAAATGACCAACAGTTCAGTTTTGTAGAAGTTGAGTTTGAGATGTCTATTAGACATCTAAATGGAGAAGTTGAGTAGGCAGTTAGCTATATGAGTCTGGAGCTCTGGAAAGACCGGGCTCAAGTTTTAAATTTGGGATGTTGTGAAGATTGAGACAATGTATATACAGCACTAAGAACAGTAATGACGCATAATGAGAGCTCAATGTATATTAGATTAAAAGGCTCTAGTCGTAAATCAACAATTACAATTTTCACTACTTGTCTAGCACACTGCCTGGCACTTAGTAGGCTTCATATAAGTTTATAAAGTGGCCAAAGAAGAGCACTTCAAGCTACTGTGTATGTGATTGCTTTTTGAGTGTAACACAGGAAGTAGCCATATATAATTTTTTCACTTTAAAATGAATTATATAAGTTTACTTTAAAAAATAAATGAAGGGAAAGAGAGAAATAGAAATATCAATGATGAGAAAGAATCATTAATCGGCTGCCTCCTGCATGCCCCACACAGGGGATTGGGCCTGCAACTGGGGCATGTGCCCCAAAAAAGATTTTTAATTTCACAAATGTTTGTTAAGAAATAAATTACACAATGGAATCCTATGCAGTTGTAAAAAAGAAGGACCTCTTACCTTTTGAAACAGATGGAGGGACCTGGAGAGCATTATGCTAAGTGAAATAAGCCAGTCAGAGAAAGACAGGTATCACATGCTCTCAGTCAGATGTGGACTCTAATGAACAAGATAAACTGATGAACAAAGTAAACCCAAAGACATTGAAGCATGCAACAGACTGATGTATTTCAGACAGAAGAGGGGAAGGCAGGAAGAGATTAACCAAGGAACTTATATGCATATATGTATAACCCACAGACACAGACAATACTGTGGTGAAGGCCTAGGGAGGGGGAAGGAGCAGGATGGAGGGGGCCTAGAGGGGGAAAGGGGACATCTGTAATACTTTCAACAATAAAGATAAATGGTTTTTTTTAAAAAAGAAAAATAAATAGGGATATCCCAAGCAGAAACAAATTCCTCCTCTAGATTTATTATTGTTTGTTTCTTACCCAGAAGATGCAAACCAGATTTCATTGATTTTGTTCTTATTTTTATAAAAATACAATACATTAATTCATAGGTTCAAAAACCAAAGCCATGTTAAAAAGTGTGTTTATTGAGAACTCTTGCTTCCTGTCCCTATGCATTTTCCTTTTCTATAGGTCAAGAGTTGACAAACTTTTCTGTAAAGGGCCAAGTAATAAATATTTTAGGCTTGTAGTCCATGTGATCTCTGTTGCTATTAATCAGCTTTGAAATTGAGGTACAAAAGCAGCCATAGTAACACAGGAACAAATGGTATGGTTGTATTCCAATAAAACTTTACTTATAAAAATAGACAGCAAGCCTGCTGGCCATAATTTCCATGCCTAATGTAGGTAATCATTTATTTATTTTTAATATATTCTTATTGATTTCAGAGAGGAAAGGAGAAGAGAGAGACAGAAACATCAATAATGAGAGATAACCGTTGATTGGCTATCTCCTGCATGTCCCTCACTAGGGATCAAGCCCACAACCCAAGCATGTGCCCTGACTGGTCATCAAACTGTGACCTCCTGGTTCATAGGTTGATGCTCAACCACTGAGCCACACTGACCAGGCTATTTTGTTTCTTTATGGAAATACAGGGAAATATGAATATATATTCTCATGCCCCATTTTTTTTATATGAAAGTTAGCCTAAGACATACCATTGTTCTATACCTTGAAGCAGTATTTAAAAATATTTTGAATTTATTGGGGTGACATAAGTTAAATAAAATCATATAGGTTTCAGGTATATGATTCTATAATATATCATCTGTATATTGTACTGTGTTCACCACCCAAAGTCTTATTCTGTCATCATTTATCCCCCCTTAACCCTCTTCTACCTCCCCCACCTCCTTTCCCTCTGGTAATCACAATTCTGTTGTCTGAGTTTAAGAGGTAATTTTAAGCAGTATTTTTATTATATATATTTGGCTATCTTTCTACATTAATATATAAAGAACATTCTCATTTTCTGTTTTTATTATAATCCATTGTATAGATGTAACAAATTTCTTAATCAGTTCCCACTTGATAGACTTATATTTTTCTAATCCTTTGCAATTACAAACAATACCTGGTTTTAAAAAACACTTGTAAGTACATAATTTCATATGTGTGGAAAAAGTATATCTGAAGGATAGATTTCTAGACTTAGGATTTGCTGGATCAAGGGGGCATTTCTCATATTGGAAGCTATTGTTTGATTCACCATTCTGGAGTTTTACCATTTTCACTTTCATTACAATATATGAAAGTGCATGTTTCAAACTTATGAAATGCTTCATGAGTTGGTGTGTTATCCTTGTGAAGAGGCTATGCTAATCTTCTCTGAATCATTCCAATTGTAGTATATATGCTGCTGAAGTGAGCACCATGAGGTCACCTTTAATTTACTAATAGATGAATGCCTCAGGGTGGCATCAGCCAAAGGCAGGACAAACCAGGAAACTCTTCTTCCTGTTGAGCCTGGAGTAACAGAGAGAAAAGGTTTTACTAGACAGCAGCAGACTTTTTCAGAGTGGTGATTGGAGGTGAACAAATCATCTCCAATACATGAATCTGTGCACTAGCTAATGGGGACATAAATGGCCAGAGTGGTAGAAAGATTTAATGAAAACCCTGACATTTGAGCAACTGTAGACAAACATAGAGTTCTTTGCTGATTATAACCAACATGGACTGCAGGAGGATTCAGCAAAGGACAAGGAATTATGCAGAGTTGGTTGCCAGATGAGCAGATTTCAATGGTATTAAGTAAAATAATCCTAAATAATAAAAGGCCAGTGACCATAACAGCATAATGACCAGAACGACTGATTGATCAGTTGCTATGAGGTGCGTTGACCACCTCTCGTCCCTCCCCCCAACTTCAGGCTTCAATTGCTGGATGTCCACAGGGGAACTGAGGTGGGTGGTGGCAGGGCGGGACTGGGGACTGATGGGCAGGTGGAAGATGGCCCTGATCGCAGGCTAGGCCTAGGGACCCTACCTGCACACAATTTCGTGCACTGGGCCTGCCTCTAGTTTAAAAATAATCAAAGGAAACAACATTTATTAAGCAGAATTATATGGGCCAGGCATTTTGGCAAGAATTGTTATTATAGCCGCTTTATGAATTTTTAAGCCAAGGCAACTTGTCCAATGTCAAAAGCCTATAAGTGCAGAGCTGGAATCTAATCCTTAGCTTGAGATCTTTTCTATTGGGCTATATTGGGAGGGATAATTTCAGAACTAGTTGAGAAAAGAAAAGTAGTCTCTTGACATGTTCTAGACTCAGGCAACTATATTTTTTCTTGTCTTTATGGAAAAGTTGATCAAATATTAGAAAGGAGTTTCTAAAATGATAATTATACTTAACATTCTGGTGCCCAAAGTGGCCAGAGTAGGCATTTAACACCCCTTGAATGATGGGCCTGGTCAGCTGCGGGTACCTTTGGCTATGCCTGCCCTTCGGATTTGGGAATAAATATTTGGGAGTCTCCAAGGAAAAACTTCTGAGAGTTCAGAGGGTTTTTGCACTGGCATGGCTTAAAGACTCACATCTTAGATTTTTATGCAGAAAATGTCAAGTTTTGTCCTTTGATTTGTTATGTTGGTTCATCCTTGTTTAGCTGCTGAGCAATAGTTTTTGAGCATCTACTTCTCCTTACCCGAGGATGACCCAAGCCTGAAATTCTGCCCACTGCCATTCAGCAGCTGCTTCAGCAGCTGATCAGGAAAGATTACTTGTAGCTGTGGTAAGTCCAAATGAAGTTTTTTCAACTGTACTTATATCTATTCTATATTTTCAAGATCAACTGAGGGTGAATGCATTTTTTAATTTTACAAGGTCAGTTTATAAACCCTGATATATAATCTACTAAAAATAATGCTAAATGTTTCTCATCTGCACAGAGAAAATAATGGTCCCTGAATGTAATTTGGAGGTGAAGGAACTCTCCTCTGCCCTATCATTCACTCTGTATTTCATTTGGCTCTGTAATCACTGGGATTGAAGGGCAAGTGGAAATGTTGCCCAAATGCTGACTCACTGGGCCCCTTCATAGAGACTCTAGAGTGAGATATTTCCTCTTCCTTTTCCCACCCAAGTTGTAAAGGGTTGTCTATTTTGCAATTCTGGTTTTCAGGCTCTATCTCATAATTAGGGAATTAAACTAAAAGAACAAGAAATTGTTTTTTAAAAAGCTATAAAACTACTTTTAATTGAACATTTATTATGTGTTTGTATTAAATACATTTTATATGTATTATCTCAATTATCTTGAAAATTGAGAGGTATTAATTGAATATATGAGGAAGATTCAATTATTACCCCTACTTAGCAGGCGAGGACACTGACTCAATGTATTTTCTGTTTCATTTTATTTTGCTTATTAGTCCAGCCAGAAGAATTTAGAAAGGTAGGAGGAAAATTATTTTTACTCTCCTACACTTTCAAAAATGGAAGACACTGACTAAAATTTACTCAAGTATATGAACTTGGCAGACACCAACATTTGAAGCAATAATGGCTAAGCTATACAGCAGTCTCTATAAAAATTACAGTTTGTACAATAAATTTGATGAATGCCCCTTTATTTTCTAGATTGATGCAGAGGTCATGGCAAATACCTTTTAAATTCAAACAGTTAAGGTTTATTAGTTTTCCCCTTGAAAATGACTGAAAGAAATAGATCTTTCTTGAATAATATTTAGCTGAACACACTTTCCTTCCATGTTCTTTCCCTGTAAGATGGTCATATAGATAAGTAATATGATAAAAATAAAGGATAAAATTCTAGCGTGTTATTCTAACTGTCAGACTTTCGAAGAAAATACAAAGATGTATTAGGGTGGTAACTGGAGTCCATTACTGATGTCAGTTCTTGTCTCCTTTACAGCATCTTCAGTGTGGGTAACAGAGTAACAGAACGTTTGTCTTGGTGTGTCAAAAAATAGTTCATAATATAGACATGGAGGAATTTTTATAGTAAATTGAACATGTGAAATTGTCATTTCAGTTGGCCAAAAGTGGTTGGATATCAGCAATTATATATATTTCAATATATTATCAGGGGATGCTCTACATTCTACAAGTAATCAGAGATCAATATAGAGGGAGAAACAAAGTGAAGAGTCTGAGCAAATGGTCAGTGTCATAATCCAGAGAGAAAGGTATTAGAGCAGAGCTCACACGGCCTGAATATTCGGGCGGAGTGGTGGTGATATTTTGTTGATTACAGGACAGAGACTCTGAATCCTCTGGCCTTTTGGAAAAACACTTGATTGGTATGTGTGCTCTTCTCTCTAGACTCTAAGAAAGAGCAAAAAAAATTTCAATTGATTATAACACATATTAAACATTAACCTTGAATATGAATATGCCATGTGGTTAAATCCTTGACATGTCTACTTGGGGGGGTGGGGGGAGGTAAGTCCTGCATATAAATAAGTATGGATCAATGTCCTTCTGCTAACCTCTCTCTCAAACTCTTATTTATTTTCACCCAAGTTCTCATTGCACATTACAGAGATATTATTTTTGTTTTCTGTTGAATTTATTTTCTATATAGACAATAGCTGGAAGGATAAATATATAGCCAGTCTTATATACTACTGTAACTCCAACAACTAGTAATATGCCTACTATTCAATAAATATTTGATGAATGGGTAATTGAATTATTTTTAATGACTACATGGAATAGCATTGCAAGGATATGCCATAATTTATGTTAACTAAGCCCAATGGATAGATATTAAGACATTTAAGTTACATGCTACTATAAACATGCTATAATGAACATTCTGGTATATATAGGTATGCATACATATTTGTCAGGTTATTCCCCTATTATAGATTCTTAAAAGGATATTTTTTATGCATTTTAAGGCTTTTGATTAATATTGTCAAAATACCTTCACATGTTTAACACTCTCACCAACCACTTATATATAAGAGGGTCCTTTTGCACATGCAATCATCAACACTAGGTATTATTAATTATTTTTAACTAGAGGCCTGGTGCATGAAATTCATGTACTCGGGAGTGGGGGAGGGGGGGTCCCTCAACCTGGCGCACTCACAGGGTGGGGAGTCCCTCAGCCCAGTGCACAAAATTCATGCACTCAGTTGGGGAAGAGGTCCCTCAGCCAGGCCTGCACCCTCTGGGGGGAGCAGGCCTAAGCCAGCAGTTGGACATCCTTAACACTGTCGTGGAGGCGGGAGAGGCTCCCGCCACCACTGTTGCACTCACCAGCTGTGAGCAGCGCCCCCCTTTGGGATCGGGCTGAAAGCAGCTCTCCAACAACCCCTAAGGAGTCCTTGATTGTGAGAAAACGCAGGTCAGGCTGAGGGACCCCACCAGTGCAAGATCGGGGCCGGGGAAACAAGCAAGAGGTTGGCCAGCTGGGGAGGGATGGCAGGAGGGCTCCAGGGCCTGTCCAGCCTGTCTTGCTCAGCCGGCCCATCTGGTTCATCCAGCCAAACCCCAGCAGCAAGCGAACCTACCGGTCAGAGCGTCTGCCCCCTGGAGTCAGTACATGTCATAGCAACTGGTCAACTGGTCAACTGTCTGCCCCCTGGTGGTCAGTGCATGTCATAGCAAGCAGTTGAGTGGCCTTAGCATATCATTAGCATATTACACTTTGATTGGTTGAACAGCCGGCTGGTCAACTGGACACTTAACATATTAGGCTTTTATTACATAGGATTTTTATTAATCTGCTTCAAGAAAAATAGAATTTTGTTTTATTTTGTACTAGAGGCCCGATGCACAAAGATTCATGCAAGAATAGGCTTTCCTTCCCCTGGCTGCCGGCACCATCTTCCCTCTGGCACCCAGGACTCAGGCTGCTTCACCCCGGCTGCCACCGCCACCCCCTGGGACCCAGGCTGCTTTGCCCCTGCCACTGCCAGGCACCCGGGACCCAGGCTGCTTTGCTCCAGCTGCCACTAGGCATAAGGTACTGGGGCTGCTTCGCTTCGGCCACTGCTGCCACCCACCGGGGGCATGCTCCGAGCCACGAGGTGGCTGCTAGGAGCATGCTCCCACACCTGGTGTGTGTCCACTGGGGCTGGGGGCAGCACGCAGTCCCCTCCCGCCCATCTGGGTGCGCAGCTCCTCCTGAGCGGTTGTAATGCAGCCTCCTCCTGAGCCTGTCGTGATACCTGGCTAATTTGCATATAACCTGTTTATATATAGACTAGAGGCCCGGTGCACAAAAACTTGTGCACTCGGGGGGGAGGGGGGCCCCTCAGCCCGGCCTGTGCCCTCTCGCAGTCTGGGACCCCTCGGGAGATAACGACCTGCTGGCTTAGGCCTGCTCCCGGGTGGCAGAGGGAAGGCTCAATCCCTAGGTGCAGCCCCTGGTCGGGCTCAGAGCAGGGCCGA